TTGTATGCGTTCCGTAACCCTAGTAAAACGGTAGGAAGCGCTTTTACCCAGTCCTGTGTCTCGTGGGCCTTGATGGCGGCTTTAAAGGTGCGGTGCCATCGCTCTATAAGGCCGTTTCCTTGTGGGTGATAGCTTGTGGTCCGGATCGTGCGGGCGCCTATTATTTTCGCTAGGGCGTCAAACAATCTCGAGTCGAATTGTGTGCCTCTGTCGGTGGTGATGGTTTCTGGTGCTCCGAATCTTGCCACCCAGGTGTGGAAAAATGTGTTAGCGACTGAGTCTGCCGTGATGTCCCTGAGCGGTGCGGCCTCGGGCCATCTCGTGAAACGATCGATGCAGGTTAGGCAGTAACGATACCCTTGTGATAGTGGGAGTGGTCCTACGATGTCGATGTTGACATGCCGAAAACGTTCATCCGGGATGGCGATGTTGATCGGCTTCCTCCGGTTGTGTCGGCTCACTTTCGCCCGTTGGCATTGTATGCACGTGCGTACCCATTGGTTGATCGTTTGGTTCATTCCCGGCCATACGAATTTGTTCGAGATGTGACGGCGAGTGGCTCGTCCGCTGCTGTGGGAGGTTTTGTGCACGACGTCGAATATGCGTTTCCTCAATGACTGTGGAACGTATGGGCGGATATTTTCGTGTGAAACGTCGCAGTAGATGGATTCCTCCGTGTCGTCTACCCTTAGCTGTTTCAGCACGAGTGATTGCGGATTTCGTAGGATATCTTGTAGTTCTTCGTCTTTTTGTTGTTCCAGCCGGATTTCCTCTGTTGTTACCACTACCGGTAGGTCTATAGTGCTGATCCTTGACAAAGCGTCGGCGACGCGGTTGTCGTTTCCAGCGATGTGGCGTATCTTGGTGGTGTGTTGCCCGATGAAATCCAGGTGGCGCTGTTGCCTGGGCGACGCCTTTTCCGGGTTTTGACTGAAAGCAAACAAAAGTGGCTTGTGGTCGGTATAGATCGTAGTGTCTCTGCCTTCCACCATGTGCCTGAAGAATTTTATTGCCTCGTAAATGGCTAACAGTTCTCGATCGTATGTGCTGTAGCGGGACTGCGTGGGCGTCAGTTTCCTGGAGAAAAATCCGAGTGGTTGTGTTTGACTGTTCGTCACTTGCTCCAGGGCTGCTCCGATTGCGGTGTCTGACGCGTCCGTAGCTAGGATGAGTTGTGCGCCCTCCGCCGGGTGTGCGAGGAGTGTCGTCTCGGCGAGCTGACGTTTGCATTCCTCGAATGCGCTTTCGGTCGTTGGGGTCCAGTTTACGGGTCGTTTGTCCTTTTTTCTAGCGCCGCTTGTCAGGTGATGTAGTGCTACCTGTGGTTGGGCTGCATGTGGGATGAAACGCCTGTAAAAATTTAGCATTCCGAGGAATCTACGGAGCTCTGCAATTGTGTTCGGCCTCGGATAATTTTTGATCGCGTCGATTCGTTCTTCGATCGGTCTTATTCCCTGCTCGTTTATCATGTGGCCTAGGTACTTCACTTCTGTTTTTCCAAGGATGCATTTGTCTGGGTTCAGAGTGAGTCCGTGGAGCTTGAGCCGAGTGAACACCTGATCGAGGTGGTCCAGGTGTTCTTCCTCTGATCTGGATGCTATGAGGATGTCATCGATGTAACAGAACGTGAAGTCCAATCCTCTCAGGACGGAGTCCATTAGTCTCTGGAAAGATTGTCCTGCGTTAGACAACCCGAATGGCATGACGTTGAACTCGTAGAGTCCGAAGGGGGTGATTATCGCGGTCTTCTCCCTGTCTTCGTCGGCCATGGGGATGTTGAAATACGCTCGTTCCAAGTCTAGAGTCGAGAAAATCGTGCAACCTCGCAGCCTGTGGCCGAAGTCTTGTATGTGGGGGATCGGGTATTTGTCTGGAACTGTAATTTTGTTTAAGTTCCTGTAGTCCCCGCAGATTCTCCAACTGTCGTCCTTTTTCTTCCGGAGTAATATCGCGCTCGCGTAAGGGCTTTTCGAGGGGCGAACGATGCCGTCTTGTAGCCAGTTGTGGATCTCACGTTTAGCTGCGGCGTATCTCCCTGGCGATAGGCGGCGGGCTTTTGTTGTGCATGGCGGTCCTCTTGTGATTATGTGATGCCTTGTGTGGTGTCTCGCTTCGTGGTGTCTCGCCGGTCGTGTTACCTCGGTGTGTTTCCGGAGTATCCCGTGGAAATCGACCGCGTCGTCGACCGTTGTTAGGGTCGGAGCGCTTGTGGTCCCGAGTTGTCCTCGCGCGGTGAGGTTGGTGGTGCCGTCGACCAGGCGACGATTTCTCAAATCGGGAAGTAGATTGAAATCGTGCAGGAAGTCGCTCCCGATGATCGGCTGTGACACGTCGGCAACTAGGAAGGTCCAGGAGAAAAGGCGTCGAAGCTTGAAATCTACGGTTAGCCTCTTTTCCCCGTAGGTGTGGATCCTAGTGCGGTTGGCGGCGTATAGCATTTTGTGTGTGCGTCGGGAACCGTCTGCGTATGTTTTTGGTAGTACGGAAACGTCAGCACCGGTGTCGATTAAGAAACGCGTGCCTGATTTCCGGTCTTCCATCACGAGGCGTTTATGGTCGTTCCCTGCCCCGGCGGCTGCCTCTATCCTCGCCGGGGTTAGTGGTTTCCCGTCGGCCAGTTGCACGGGGTTCTGCAGTTCCGAGCCTCCGCTCCGAACTTGCGGTGGTAAAAGCAGGTCGGGTTTCGGTCGTTGCTCGACTGCCGAGGTCGTTGTTCGGGGCTCTGGTGGTTGCTCCTCGACCGGCTCTTGCTGCGGAATCTGTGAGTTCTCTGACTCTGACGATCTACTCGCTCCTTCTCGAAGTCTCGCCGGAGCTCGTTAAGGGCCTTAACGATCTCGTTGAGCTGCAAGCTCTCAGGTCTGGCTGGTTCGACGCTGGCTGGCTCCGTAGTTCGGATCGCAGCGATTTGGGGTCGTAGCGTTTCCATTATCCTGTCCGCCATGTCTGCGATTTCGCTGAGGTTCGTCGTCTTGTTCGCCGCCAGGATGGACTGCGCCTGTTCGGGCAGTTGTTCCAGGAATATGGGCTTCAAAATGGCGTCGTTGCACTGGCCTCCAGCCAAACAGCGCATGCGCTGGAGGTGGACGCTGGGCTTCGCGTCACCCAACGGTTGGCCGTGCAACAGTTTTTTAATCTTCGTCTCGCTTGAGTCAGCCAGGATGTTGATCAGCCGCGTTTTTACGGCGTCATATCTCCCGAGCGGGGGCGGATCATCGATGATGTCACCTACCAATTCGATTAGGTCCGGTTCTAGGTTGCTGATCAGGTGCCGATATTTCGCCACGTCAGCGTTTATTCGGTGTAACGCGAAGGTGTTCTCGACGACCGTAAAATAGCGCGCCGGGTTATGCCTCCATAGCGGCTGCGGTAGTTTGACCACGTTTATGGCCCCCAGCTGCGGCGCCGTTTCCTCGTCGCCGTGGACCGGACGGTGCCCGTCTCCACTTGGTTCGTTCTTGCTGCCTTCCATCTTGCGCGGATTAGGTAGCGGTGCAGTAACTTACTCGAGTTTGTTTCACACGCGTCACGTGGCACGTGGGTGCGAAAAATCGGGGAAATCGAGGGAATCGGAATGACGATAAAATATAGCGCGTGGTCGTTCACAAATCACGTCGGGGTCACCAATTGTGGGTTTTCCTATCGGAAACGATACACAAAAAGAAGATGTGAACGGATATATACTTTTATTTTATAAATAACAATACGAATTGAAGAGCGCGGTTTTGTCGAACAGGTAGTACCGAGGGTGCGCGAGCGAATGGGGGTGAGTCCGTGGTTGTTCTCTCGCTCGTGCTTGTCGTTCTCCCTTAGGCATATTTTCGCGACCCTGTTCGGTGGCCTCGTTCGTGTCGGCTTTCCAGTCTCACTGTGGTCTCGTCCGTGAGGGTCCCGGTGGGGCCTCGTCCGAATGGCTCTCGGCGGAACGCCACAGTCCTATTGGTCCGTTCCGCCCTTTAAGGCCGGATTCGCGTTTTTATCTGTATAAAACACCCGTATGAAACAGACTTAACGACTTCCTTCTTATTATCTGTCGTTTTTGAGTTTTTGGTTATTTTATGCCATTTATGGTTTAACTTCGGACATTTGTGTCTTTATTGTATTTTTACGTGCGTGTTGTGAGTTGAATAATGCTATCGAAATTCGTTACAGTTAGTTATCCTTATTATTGTTTATTAATAGGTACCGTTCTAATAGGTAGTAATGAATTATTTAAAAGGGCCCATGACGGGTATCAAAGAAGAATACCTAAATTAAAAAAAAATATACCTTGTGAATTAGACCATTGTAGAATATACCTATTTAGCTAAAGAAGGTTGTTGTTTCTTTTATTTTTTCTACTTCAAATCTACAATTTCATAATAAATTTAGAGGAATTCTGTTTTACTGACCTACTCATTTTACACTAACTACATTTATAAAGTAAAATGTTTATTTCAGTTAAAAAGGTTTCCCTCTAGATTTATTATGAAATTCTTATTTAAAAAGTAATAAGTAGGTACACATTTTTTTTAAATTTTGGCGCCAATTGCGGAACACTGTAAGTATAATTAGTATTCTGCATTTAATGTATAGACGCGCGTCACAGGTGTCGTTAGTAAAAAAATTGAGTTTCCCATCTATAGTGTAGGTTATCTGTGATAGAGGGTACATCTTTTGACGTCTAAAACAACATCATATTACGCCTTTGTCCTGCAACCCCAACACTAAAAAATAGAGTAGGGTGAATTTTTTCATTTTTTGTGAAAATAAAAGAAAATAACAATATCCGTCAATTCGTTTTTGAAATATTTACTTTTAAGAAACATGGTCTCCAAAAATTATGAAAACATACTCGAATTATATTTATTTATTATATAAATTTAAAACTGATGAATTATATTCTTGGAACTTTTTTTTTCCTAAAACTCGCTGAAGCTTCGTTTCGTAGTTAGGGAACATTTTACCTTGATACTCATTCCTTAAATCTGAGTAGGGATCAATGTAGTAAGCACCCAAGCTTAGATCTCCATTATCTGGTAAATATAGACTGATAAACTTGATGATAATTCTCCTGCATTGTTTTCAACTGTCACTATTCTTTTAATTTTACTTTCAGATTTTAAACTTCTTGTTCTTGACGAAGAAATCGTAGAGTTTTCTATAAATAAATTGTGATATCAGATTTTTGTTAGTCTAAAACTAAATATTTCCATGACTTACCCTGGTTTCTATTGACTCTCTCTACTATTTCTTGGTCACTTCTATTTGTAGTTTCAAGTTTCTGTTTCGGCAATAAAGATTCGTACTTCTTAGGTCCGATATCTGTAATGATGATCTGAATAGATTTTAACTTTTCTTGAGAAATATTTTGTAATAATCCATTGGAATGACTAGAACTATTATTACGAATCATTGCAGCGTAAAATTGTAATTCAACTCAACCTGTTGAAACAACTAGAATATACATAAAAATTAATTTAGTATTTAAATATGTTAAAATTTTGCCGAACCGAATAGTAAACACACACACACACTAAATTAGTAAATTGACATTGACACGTTGATACAATAAGAAGTCTAGCTAGCACGCCCCATACCAGCGTTGCCAGCTGAACACATTTTGTTAGTGCTATTTGATAGCTTGGTTGAGCTACTTGACATAACGTTTTTGGTACAAAATTAGAATAATTTAAGTGGAAATTTAGACCACCGTCGTATAAAGGACATTTGTAATTTACACGCAGTTCAACATGTCCCAATTTCCCTGGAACACGGTCGTATACAGTGTTGTAAAGGCAGGAGTTAGCAGGTTCCGTACTCTGAAAATAGGTGTAAAATGCCCGATTCGCCGCGATGTTTTCAGAGCCCGGCGTATTTAAAAATTAAATTTAAAATTTTGAATTTTTTTAAATGCTTTTGTTTTTGCTTAATTAAAATATTGAAATCGTATACTCCGTTTTCAGGCTACATTTTTAACTTTTTGTACGCAATTTTTGTACCAATAGAAAGACGGAACTGACTTATTCCGAGTGCGGTTCGAAGCCTTTTTTTTAATTTTTCTTGTCATTTGTTTGAGCTAAATTTTATTTTGTCAAAGTGAAAATAAGTTGCAATGACGTAAACGTCACTTTCTTTTTTATAAGCATATATACACCTATTACAACTTTACCGCTTACTACGGTCTAAAACTCGTAGCAAACCATAGAGAAAGAAAGATGAGAGAGTTCGATCTCTTACTAAAAATTGGAAACGCGTCGATGGTGCTGCTGCTAGTATGGTGTCCCACGAACTAATGAAATATCGAGTAGATTTCTTCTATATTTCAAAATTAAAAATGGGTGGTATAGGCATATACATATAAATATATATACTGCTCGCTCCCTACCCCAGCCGTGAGCTAGTCGCGTCCCAATCAAAGAGAGAGGTCCGATGAACATTCTGCACTCATCTGGACTTTTGTCAAAAGCGCGCAAGTACAGTTTTTACCGCCAAATGCCAATAATTTTAAATTAACACCATTATTTAAACATAAATTATACTGCTTAAAAGAATGAAAAGCTATTAAAAATGGGTTGGATTTGTTTGAGAATGTTTAAATAAGGGAACTAAAAACAATATTTGACTGACAAAAGTTATTTAGTTAATTGGAAGCAAATAATTAATAATATTAACATATTTTAATTAAAAAAAATAAATCCATTGATTTAATCATTATTTAATAATGATTTTTATTTAAGGAAAACACTCTTAAAACTATAAACAATCAATCACAATGGCGGAAGCGAAAGTACGAAGCATGTAAACGTAAAACGTAAACAAGATATTCACCCAATAACCCAACTTTTAAGAAACGATAGCCAATCGTTATCACGGCTCAATATCACATGACCGGGGCAAGCGCAGAACCCTATTTGGTCCAGAAGAGCGCCGACCTATATATCTGCACTCTAATAATTGGTACGCTTTCTGAACGATTCCAGCAGTATATATATTTATATGTATATGGGTATAGGCAAGACAAAACACAGAACATACATAAACAAGAAGGGACATCTCCGTGAGAATTTCGTAGACCACAGAACATACATAAACAAGAAGGGACATCTCCGTGAGAATTTCGTAGACGTTCTAGAGCGCACCCTGAGAGCAACGGCAGATATTAAACGGTTAAATGGTAATGGATGTTGCATAGTAAAGAGAGGATTCAATATACACAGTCGTGTAATACTGGTTTTCTATTCGACTTTTTTATTTTTCTTGCTCGTAACCAATTTCTTGTAAAACTTATACAATTTATTCTTATACATTTTAAGAATTATATATAATTATTAAATATAGACATAGTAGAATAAATTGTACAAGTTTTACAAGAAATTGGATATCGAAAATAATAACTTTCACAAATAAATTAACGACAAAAACGTTCATTTTAAAAAAATATATTTAAAAAACATACAAATTTGCGGATTTCAAATTAGATATTAACTAATTCAATGCAAATTAATACCTATACATATGTATATTAATATAAATACAATACACGACTTAAATAGTACAATATTAAAATAATTCTTCATAATTTTAAATGTAAACCTACATATTATAAATAATAATTTAGACTTTGGCCTATTAACAATACAATAATTAGTTTACAAACCTTTTTTCTGAGAAATCCAGTCGTTTTATATCGGTGGCTCATCGAACCCAATAGAACAATCTCCATTTTCTGTAACAAAAAATAAGTAGTTAATATAAATGAAATTGATATTTGGGTTTAAATTATGTTATACTGTTAATTATATTTACCTAGCAAAGAAAGCATCACACAGCAATCTTGTCTGATTTCAAAACTTCCAATGATTGGAAATCTGCTTTGGATGCCGCCAGCACCGTCCCTACCGCCAGCGACGCCCTCGTCGCCGCCAGCGACGTCCTCACCGCCACCGCCGGCTTCTTCACAACCCTTATTACGGCCTATCCTCGGGCACTCAGCAACGCCAAGAGCCGCCAAGAGGGTCACTTTCTTCGTACCGCCCGCCTCCGGCGAACGTCACTGCGGAGGGAGTCCTGTGGCGCCCCTGCAGAGGCCCGCGCCTAGGCGACGCAAACAGCTCCTCGTGGCCCGTCAAGTATTCGCCGTCCGGCCGAGACGTTAAAGGCCACGAGCGAGCTGACAGACGACAGACGACTGACAAACGGAAGCCGGGACTTCACTTCGGTCTAAACTTCGAACTCGATCGCACGTGCTCGCGACGGAGTCGCACACCCGACTGTAACCTGTCTGATTTCTTAAATCAATAAATTTCTTCCACATTAGTGAGTGGGTGATCGGATTATTATTTACGCGCTACCCCATCACCCATTTCCAAACATATTATTATAGTTATTTCGGGCCTTAAATTCTTAAATAAAACAAAGTATTACGACAAAATATGTTTATATCAAAGTAAATATAAATAAACATTATAAACATATAAATAAACGAGATATATAATAAATAAACGATATGAGATGAAACGAATAAATATGCCGAACCTGGCAATGGATTTTTTATGTTTCTCTAACATAAATATAATCACGTTTGCTAAAATATCTTAGGGTAAATGCCTTAGAAATTTCTTCGCTGGTCCATCTGGCTTTGGTTTTATGCTTTAACAAAACATCAATTTGATTTGGCGTTAAAAAATCTTCTAAAAGGCCTTTAACTTTTACATTCAACGTCTTTTGACTATGATCAACACTGAGTTGCAATTTCTTGTTTGTGATAATAAGCATAGACAAAATAAAAGAGACTGTTTAAAGCATAGGAAATATCGGACTACACGATTCATTTTGAAGACCCCGTAAGAGGCGCTGCTATCGAAAAATGAAATATATTTCAATTTTTTTGATTGGACAATTTCACATAAATGCTCGAACGCAAACGATAGCGATGTTCGGTTTGTTTCGTTCGGTAGTCTTCCTTGCCGTTCTTGTCGAGTTGTGTCGGTCTTTTTACGTAAGTTTCATGAATAGTGTAAGTAGGCGCCATTTTTGTGTATAACCTAAATTGGTGAGTTTTTATATATTTTTTTATTTTTAATTGTGTTTGCTCATTTAAAATGTCAACACCAAAGAACACTTTCTAGCAAAGATCATAAATCAGATGTTTTTTGTCAACTTGTTGGAGCCATTTTACCAATTGTATTATCGGGAAAATGGCAAAAACTAACAACTATTTCTCACTATTCGTTATTTTCCCTGAATTCGATGCTGCTGATATTTTTTTGTTTTAGATAACTTACGATATAAGAACTGAAAGGTGTAGACCCTGGGAGCTGAGGAATAAGACCAACTTTATCGTTGTATAGCTTTAGAAATAAGCAATTTTACTAAAATAATTCTATTTAAATTTAGTGTATGTAAATATCCTTTCGTAACTTCTGTGATATAAATGTGATTTTTCCTTTAAATATTAGTAGGTACTTATTTTTAATGTAAAATTTTATTTCTTCGTAGTTATCGTATACAGGTCGTACGAACTGATCCACTGCAAGCATTAGAATTAGAATCTCAATCAATACTATAAGATAGTAAAGAACAGAAACTTGTTTATCGGTTGCCGGCCGATATTAGAATTCGTCAATTCGCTTTGCTTCGTCCACTAGCGAATAGCGGGGATAGCGTGCGTGATTATTTTGTATGCTCTCTTTATTCCTTACATAGCAAAAGTTCAATTAGCTATCTCATTATTCTCATTGTATGCTTGCAGCGGAATAATTCGTACGACCTGTATAATTGTATTGTATATAATTTTAAATTAATAAATTTCTACATAAATCAATTAATTCTATTAATATAAATATTCCAGTTTGTAAATTGTGTATGCATTTGATAGTCGTTTTTCTTGCTTGAGAAACGGCTATTGAATGACTACACAATTATCAAATGTAAGAAAATAAAATAGAATTATAGAAATAAAATTTAAATTTACCGCCATTTTTTGTTTTTAAATATAGAAGAAATCTACACTGTCATTCTTGATTAGTTCGCGATAAATTGACGACCGGAGTTAGAGGCAGCACCATCAACATTATGCCAATTTTTAGTAAAGGATCGAACTCTCTCATCTTTCTTTCTCTATGGTAAAGGTTTTCTATTTCTGCTTTGTCTTGTTGCGCTTGATTTTTTAATTTTTCGCATTGTTCTTTAAGAGCGATATACTTTTGATTTAATATTTCATGTTGGCTTTGATGGTTACTTATGTCTTGCAATAGGCTGTTTGAACTACAAGCGGGCATATCCTGGGGCGAAGCATTCTCTTTGGGAGCTTCATCTATTCATCTCTTCATCTACTTTCAACAATCCGTTTCTGCTCTTTTAATTCCATTCTCTTGCTTCTTTGACTAATATATACTGTGTTCAGGTACTAAT